CGTATTTTGTGTAATAGCAATTAAATTTTTGTTATTATTCTTTTAATTATAGCATTTTTAAAAATGTACTATAGCATATAATATTCAATAATTTAGTTAGTTTTTTCAATAATTTATCACATTTTTATTTATTTTGATTATATTTAAATTACGATTATTGAGTTTTTTGGGAATAAATTGACATTTAAAATAAAATTTATCATATTTTTTATCATTACATAAACCATCTTACAAAGAATCGAAAAAAAATCTATGGTACAAAAAACCCTATATTACAAAGTAACAAATTCAAGCTTTCCTCAAATCGGCATCATCTTCTTCCTCGTGGCATCCTCATCTAGAAGGAAAATTTTGACTTGTTTTGAATTTGAACATTCATTGAACTCTTCTGAAATCTCGCTGCACATGTGCTTCGGCAGACTCCACATACTCTGAGAATCCAAAACATAGTCATATTAATTTAATTAGAAATAATCCAAAACAAAGTTAAAAGGCCCACAGTAACACGACATGGCCCAAACTACAAGGCCCATCGAAGCATGTCTGAAACACAATAGGGCATCGAAAGCTCATATGCTATGTCGGCATCCGAACTGAGAAGATCTTGGAGCCAATGTGGACCTTCTCTTACGAGATTCGACTAAAATCGATGGTATCGAAAACATAGTCAGATCAGTGGAGGAAAATCTTAATTAGTTTAATATATGAAGTAATGAAACATGTAAATCTTCAAAATATGCAAGGAAATCTAAGAATTTAAGAGACATCTCTTTCTTAATCTTAACTCTAATTGCCACTTAATTCCATCATCTCGCAAGAACAGCCACTTAATATGTAAATCCCATGAAAATAGTTTAAAGGAGACGGAAGTTAACAACAACCGCAATGAAAGAATATTGATTGAGCAACTTTAGCATAACTATTCTATAAATTTCCAATAATCGATTGAACCTTTTGATTTTGGTGTAAGCCTGGGCTCGACACTCCTGAATCTCCAGCAGTCTCTGAAGCAAAACCAGGGTTTCGGAGGTGAAGCCGGAACCAACCGTGGAACTAGTAGACCCGCTGCTTTCGATTTTGTCGGCGAGGAAATCTCTGATGGAAACCTTTGTCTCAAAGAACGAAAATTAGGGATTCTGATTCTGGTGAGGATTAGGGTTATGGGAGTGAAGGTGAAGAAGGACAGAAGCAAATCGCTTGGAGATTGGGTGAGAAAGAAGAAGAAATTAGGGTAAAGTAGATTGGATGAGAGAAGGCGAGGAAGAGAGAAAGATGTTTCCGAGGAGGAAGATAAGACGAGGAATAGGAGGAATAGAAGTGAGATGTCGTGAAGGTTTATGTCCATTGATTTTAATCTTAATCAATGGTGGATAATAAAAGTAGGGCGATCTTTACCTCTATGGCTTAGCCAATGAGAACTCACCCAGTCTTTTTTTATTTGCAATTAAACACGTTTTGTTTTTGTTTTCTTTATCAAACACACGTTTTTTTTATTTTATTTAACTTCAACATGTTTTTGTTGTTTTTTCTCTTTAATTAGTAGATTAATTTTGCAATATGTGGTAAATTAATGTAATTTAAACTATATATCCTAAAAATATTCACAAATTTTTGATAATATATTTACTTAAAATCAACTTCATTTGGAACA